GGCGGGAGCGCGGCTGCCCGGCGGCGCCGTCGGGGGAGCACGCGGCAGTTGCCGCGCCTCGCTGCGCCCCTTCCTGCTGCGTTGCCGCGGGGTCAGGCACCGGGTGTCGGCTGCAGCCGAGGCTGAGACTACGGGGCGAGCGCCGGCTGCTGCTGCGGCGGCCGGAGCCGGAGCTTCCTGGCTTGAGGGTCTCGCTGCTCCGCGCAGGGCAGAGCCATCCCCGGGCTCAGCGCGGAGTTTTACCCCGTGGGCAGAGTGGTGTCCACTGCGGGGTTTGCCTTGCTCTGGAGCGGGGGCCTGGCTACGATCTCTGGAGCCTATGCGCTGCTTGCAGATGTTAGAAAAGCCCCGCTTTACCAGAAGAAGCGGCGCGTTCGCCTGGTCTGGCTCTGCAGCGTCCAGAGAGACCGGGCGCTTCAGCGGGGCTTTTACCACCTTTGTCTAAAGCGGAGTCAATCCGCTATTAGCGCCCCAAAGCCCCACTAAAGCGCCTGATCTTTACAGATGTGGACCAAGCCGGGTCCAGCTAACTGCCTCTTTTAGGCATGCACTGGGCTTCGTGCCAAGATTAAAGTAAAGCGCCTTTTTTTGTTCAAGTTTGCAAGCAGCCATCCTGGCAACCTTTTATTACAGCTGCTGTGGTTCCCCTGCTTTACCTGTGGCAGCTCAGGGTGCCAAGACTGACACTCATCTTGAAGGGGAAGGTTTGGATAGGGGTGGTCCTGCCTCAGGTGCCATCTGGAGGTCCCTGCCAGCCCACCTCCCCATCAGTCTATGATTTGTTTTTAAACAGCTGGGACCAAATGCTGACACATTTAGCTGTGTTGAGTAACACCACTGTGCAAATGGTATCTGCCATACCAATGGTGCTGTTCACTGAGAGAGTTGATCACCAGCAAAAGTGTCATCAACAGATATTTTGTTTGGAAAGTCAACTTTTTCATACTTACCAAAATAGATAATTTTGTCTTGAAATGTGTGCAGAACGTTCTAAATGTTGTGACAACAGCTGATCTCTTTTCAGAGTCCATTTTGGTTAGTGTGCCTTAAAGAACAAAGCTGTTTGTTTTGTGAGAGAAGTATTTTTTGAAGATCTGTCTGTGAGCAACAAAATGTATTATGACCAGGGATCTACCTAAATCTTTCCCCAAGCATCCCCTTTCCCTCTCCTGCTGCTGATTGGCCAAGGGCCCCCCTGGCCCTGCTGCTTGCCACTTGCTCCGGATCAGCTGGGAGGCAAAAACTGCAATTTTAAATAGGCTGCGGTTTTGCTTCCTGGCGGATCAGCAGTGGTGGGACCGCTGGCACCCCTCAGTCAATCAGTGGCTGGAGGCAAAAACCACAGCATATTTAAAACTCTGGTTTTTGCCCCACGGCTGATCAGGAATATGCAGCAGGGCCTCTGGGGTCCTCCAACCAATCAGCGGGAGGGGAAGGGGGGAACAAAAATAGCAAGATTAAAGGAGTCGCTGTACTTCCGGTGCGATTTAGGTAGATCCCTAGTTATGACTAGTGTAACTTGCTGGCATCAGCATCCCCTGTGAATACAGCACTTGATCTTAGCCCACAAGAGGCCAAGAAGCTGTGGAACAAATATAAGTAGCTCTATTAACCTGAGAGCAGAATTTGATCCTACAAAATAAGCAAATTGTAAACAACATTCATGTAGTTTCTATAAAATAATAAACAAGGGTCTTTTGGCTAAATAACAGCTACTCAGATCTCTTGGTAGGAATTTTTTTTGCATTTTACAGTTATGATTTCATAGGGGTAGTTTTACAATTTAATTGTCTATTTTTTGGCAGCTGTTCAAGAAAAAAGGCATTTCAAATAACCAAGTCCTTTATCCCCATACTGGAATGGCTACCTAACTACAGAGTGAAGGAATGGCTAATTAGTGATATCATCTCTGGTATCAGTACAGGGCTTGTAGCTACTTTACAAGGTAAGCTGTGGCTAGATTGTTTCTTTGTTATTAATAAGAAGCTAGATACGTTGTATGGACATGCCCATAACTATTTCTTATGCTTTATACTGCACACATCAAGTTAAACATGTATGACTTAAAATATCCATATGAAGACCATTGCCATTGAATATTATTTATTAATACTGTGCAGTAAATGATTGATTTGCTTAATTTTGCCTCTTTCTTGTTATTTAGCATTGGTTAACATATTCCAGTTTCCTTGAATTTGTTACTGTAATATAATTGATTAGTATCTCTCTTAATTTTCCTCTATGGACATATTGTGAGTATTTAATTATTGAAATACATTACCTACCTGCAGTTGATCAGGCATAGTATTAGCACTGTTCCACAATTAGTTGATCATGCAAGCATTTCCACAAGTCTTTAAAAATGTAAATGAGATTTCCTGCAAAAAATCATGAACACAAATCTTTTAAACTTTATTTTTATAGTGTTATTGCCAGTAAATTATTAAATGTTTGCTCAAACAATCAGAAAAGAGCCATTGCCATGGTCAAGCTTTAAAAACTAATATTCACAAAACATACTTTACATAATTCACTTAGACTGATATAAGGAAGAATTTTCCCAACTATTTGAGTTGGTCTAATAAAAGATATCGGATTTACCCAAAGAACCTTGTCTGCCTATGTCCTTAGACCAACACGGCTACAACCTACACCCCTTAGACTGATTTAATACATTGATCAATAGTAGAGAGAAGCAGAACAGTGATAAAATTTGCAGAGGATACAATGGAACCTAGGTTAATCAAGACCAGAGACGGAACTCCAAAATGACATCACTATGAGTCTCATTCTCCTCTCTGAGGCACCTGATACTGGCCACTTTCAAAGACAAAATTAAATGGACTATTGATCTGATAGTAATTCCCATGGGTGGACCTGTCACCTACTCCAGATCATTGTATAGATCTTTCCTATCCTATAAGGACATAAAGTTATTTTCCTGGTTACTTCTCTTATGACAAAAGGTGCTGTGTGGATCCAATATCTGTGTAGGAGAAATAGTGGAAACTCAGCATGTGAGCCTGCAAGTACGGACTCTTGATTTGTATTGCCCTTCTGGCCTCCCACCAGCTACAGTGGTATGGCCAGACCATTTTTTTGTTTTGTAAATCTGGTAGTACCTTTTGATGCTTCTAAAAAGGGAAGTGTAGAAGTTGTCAATGGGAGTTAATGCTGCCTGAAACGGTATTAGCTATCTGCATATTTTACTGCACAATTCTAGGGCTGGAAAGCAAACATGACATTTAGGATAACTTTCCAAGCTCTGTTTACTGTCCCCCCCCTCCACTTTTTCAATGGAGCTGATGGGTCAAACAAGTTGGTGTATCTACACATGCACTTTAATGCACATTAGCCTATTTTAATGCGCATTAAAGCATCACTGGAAAAATGCTGTTTAGTTAATGTGCATTAAGACAAGCTAATGCACATTTTCATAGTACCTCACAATGGAGGTACTAGATTTAATGAGCATTAACTTAAGTGCATCAATGCACGTGTAGACATGCCCACAGACTTGGAAATGTGGAGGAAATGTTATTGTGCAGGGGTAAAAATCTTGTATAACTGCTTCTCTGCTCTTCAAGGGAGATAATCCTGACCTTTATTATTAATTTAGGATCTAATTAGTAAAAACCAACATTTTAAAATATTAGGTGTCTAAATGTATGGTTACATACCTAAAAGAATTGCCTGAGTTTCAGAAGTCCTAAACATTGGCATCTCCCAGTAAAGTAAATGGACACCCAATTTGAAAATCCCAGCTATAAGTTAGGCCCTTTGCATAAATCCTTCTTCCCAAGTGCAATGGCACATCAGCCACTTTCACAGCAGTTCCCTTGTTGAACCTCACTAGGCCCTCACAAAACACTTCTGCTTCATGCCAAATTGCAGGTATAATTGGTGTTACTTACAAATCTAACTACCCAAATGGCACTCAGAGGGTGCATTTACATGAGACACTTAATGCTGAATTGCCTAATTAGCTCTGCAGTAAAGCATCACCTGTTTACACGTGTGGAGTTATTAGGCTGAAGTAAACTAAGTAACTCTGCCATAGGTTACTACTGCCAGATACAAGTATTATCCTACAGTGGAGTTATTTACTCCACCACAACACATGTGTAGACATAGTTGGGGCTAGCTGGGGTATGAGGATGTTTCAGTGTGGGGGCTGCCTTTTAGCTAGCCCTTCTGAAGTGTTTTAGCTAGCCTTAACTCTCTGCAGTACATTGAGCTGAATCAGAACAGCCTCAGGCTAGCAGGCTGACCCCCGGGGCTTCCTGGTAGTCAGGGCTGCACAGCTCTGGCTCAGTGTGCTGCGGTCCAGGATGTTGTTTCTGGGAGCAATACATTCTGGTGCAAACTGTGCTGGATCTTATTGTATCATATTAATATTCATGCAAAGATGTGCCTAGAATGGTGTAAAGCAGAAGTTTGCAAATTCATGCGTGCAAGTGAATTACAGGTGAAAAATACAAATTTCAAATATGTCTGGAAAAAGAAGATACCTTTTTTAATGTGGCTCATTATTTGGCAAAATATTAGTCTGTTGTGGAGTCTGTAACATAAAACACTGTGAATATGTGATTTCAGGTTTGGCATATGCTTTACTGGTTGCTGTTCCTGTTGGATATGGTCTCTACTCTGCCTTTTTTCCTATCCTGACATACTTTTTCCTGGGAACATCAAGGCACATCTCAGTTGGTAACTGCATCTTTTTCAGAATGCATACCCTTACTGTGAACATAAATATTTTGTGTGAGGCAGTCACTTTTGAATTGCATTCTCTGTGTTTTGTGCTTTCACACTGGCAGGTTATTGAGGTTTAAAACTATTTTGCTTAGTGCAGAGGGTTGTACATAAAGCTTTACTTCATGTGTATCTGTGCATAGCCTCTGCCTGTGTTTGTGCTGGAGTCCAAGAGCCTTGTGTTTTGCTGCATAGCATGTGAAGAGTTGCAGAATCAAGGCCATAGCAGGAACTGAAAAATTAACTCTGGATACATTTATGAACAGACACTTTATCTGTTAACTCAAGTTCAACATGATTAAAGCAGAACTCTTAATCTTCCCTCATGAGTCCTCCTTGCTATCTCTTTTCTCCATCTTGGACAACACCATAATCCTGCCTGTCACTCAAGCCTACAATTGGGATGCCTACTCAGACTTCTCTCTAGGCCCTTACGTCCAGGCTGTGTGTAAACTTTGCCAATTCTTTCCACATTATCTCTTCAAGACATGGTCTTTCCTATCTGTCCACACAGGTAAGATTTTCATCTAAGCTCTCATCTTGCATCTCGATTACTGTGCTTCCTTTTCTCTAGCCTTGACAGATTCCATCTTAACATCTTCATACCCATCCAGAATGCTGCTGAAAAGATTGTTTTCATACCCAATCATCTTTACTTTTTTACATCTCTCTGGGCATGTCTATATGAGATGCTTAATGTGCAGTAGATTAATTCTACTGCGCATAAGAGTGTCCTGACAAAAAAACTGTGTTAATGTAGAATTAGTCTACTGCACAGTAAGCATCACAAAAAGACCATGCACCATTGCTATAGCACATTAACATCTGCTCCTATATAGTACCTCGTATTAGAGGTACTAAACTTAATGCACATGTAGATGTGCCCTTCTTGCATTCCTCCACTAACTTGCCCTTCTCTATTATGTCCCCTTTTCCGACATAAGCGGTCTTCACATCCTCTCGTCACCCTACCTGTCATGTCTCATTTGGTATCATGATACTGACTCCTTTTTCCACTTGGCTCAGGGTTCTAGCCTCCATTGCTTACTTGTTACATTTTCAAAAAAATCACCTTTACTTTTTTTCCCGATGCAGGCTCTTTCACTTGGAGAGAGTTCTCTATGAATGTAAGCAATTTTAGTTCATTTGCTCCTTCAGAGCCCTCCTCTGTAATGGCTATAAAACACTGATAATATTTAGGCTACTCTGGGTTGATACTACAGTCTTGCATGTTGACCAGTATTGTCTCCTTGTTTCCTTACGCTTCCTTATAAGATTGGCTGTAGCCACATGTTCTCTTCCTTGTTATGCTTACACTGTAAGGTTTGTGGGACAAGATCTCTCTTCGTACTGTATTTGCAGTGTATATGGTTCCTAGGTACTTCAGTTAGATAAATACTATAATAATAAATTGGCCCTGATATAAATGTTTTAATTGCCTAATATAGAACTGCTTATCTTATCTTACAAATACTTTGATTTTGTGATGTATGGAAGGCCAACATATATACTGTTTATCTTCTCAGGACCTTTTCCTGTGGTCAGTTTGATGGTGGGATCTGTTGTGCTGAGCATGGCACCTGATGAAAATTTCCTCCTAGTTAGCAGTAATACCACAGGGCTTAACAAAACACTGATAGACACTGAATCCAGAGATGCACAGAGAGTATTAATTGCCAGTACTGTCACGTTTCTGGTTGGAATTATACAGGTAATATAACTGGCTTGTAGGCTCAGGTTTATACTGCTTTTACTTTATTAAATAATTGGTAAGAATGCAAAGAGAAACAGTATTTTAGGGGAATATGTTACTTTTCCCATAATAAAACATACAGGAAGGGGAACATCACCCTGAAATCTCCATGCTTTTCAAATGACGGGCAGCCCCAACATGTTTCAGTGGTATGTGGTAATATGCCAAAATTATTCTTTTCCCCAATTTTCTATGGAAGAGCACAGAAGCAGATTCTGCCACTGTTCTGTGTGCACAGCTCCCCGTGAAATCAGGTCACAAAACAAGCACACAATGAGGCTTGGATAGCTTTGTATAAAAGAAGGGTTTTCAGATTTTTCAAACTCTTAAAGGGATCAAGTGGTGATACTATTACACTGAACATTATTTTACTCCATGGATAACTCCACATGCTTTGTTGTGACTGTAGCTACTGTAAGCTACCATCACTGGAAGTAAACATTTCAGTCCGGCACAATCTGTTGCCATCTGAACTCTTCCTAGGCAGACAGCCTCCTACACGGGATCAAATCCTAAACGTTTTGTAATTTCATTGTTGCATTGATTTACTGCTTAGTAAGTTGTTTGCTTTTTTCCTGATGATTTTCCCAGCTTGTGCTTGGAGCCCTTCAGATTGGTTTCATTGTGAGGTACCTTGCGGATCCACTGGTGGGAGGATTCACAACTGCAGCTGCTTTTCAAGTGTTTGTTTCACAACTGAAAATAGTCTTAAATGTTTCAACCAAAAACTATAATGGGATCCTTTCCATAATATATGTAAGTATACCTGGCTAATTTGCTTTCATTTTGTGGCAGAAATTCTCCATAGCAGTTTTCCTTTTTTTTTTTCCCCAATCTCTTGCTTCCACTTCATGTAGAAGTGGCTCACATAATAGAATGTAGGGAATACGGGGGGGGTGGTTATCCAGAACTTGAGCCTGCTCTCATTAAAATCAATGGGTGTTTGGTTGTAATTTATTTGGAGGGGCCTATAGGTAGCTGCTTTGCCTGCCTGTAAGGCAGATGGCTTATTTCCCTAATGTAGGCATGGCTCAGTGGTGCACCTAGTCTCTTTCAGGTCCAGTTTTATTTCTCAACTTAACTTCAGAAAAACATCAAACAAAACAGTCCCTCTATCAACCCTGGGCTACTGCTCCTTGAGTGTACCATCTTTTCTGTTCCCTACTTTGTGGAACTTGCAGGCACTTGTGTACCTCTGACAGCCATCTCCTGCTGCTCAGACAGCTGACCATATCATCTATGAATGCCATTAGGGCCCTCTTTTGGGCACCCAAGGTCCTATTGACATTGACCATTCTGTCTGTAGCTGACTTTCTGGTCCACATGCTTCCAGCATATGAGTGTGGTGATACTTGCTTCATCATCATCAGCCCTTTAGAGCAGGAGGGGTGGCAGCGGCAGCAGGACACAGAGCTGGGGGACTTGCATGCAGTGGCACAGGGTGGTGGATGGTGGTGGCAGCGGTGGCTGCATGCAAGTTCGCCCCACCCCACGTCCAGCCGGTTGGGCAGCACCTGTGCAGTCTGCAGAAGGAAACCACTGCCCTCACCCCCCACGGCCCTGCTCCTGGGAGACAGCAGTGCGGGATGGTGAGTGGTGGCGCTCCATCCTTGCTCGCCCACGCACACCCCCTAGCCTCTTCCCAATTACCCCTGGGGTACACATACTCCCGATTGACAACCCCTGCTTTAGAGGAACCATCTTGCTGCTTCCCAGCTGGATCTAATAACTGCATGGCTGGGGGGTCCCTGTGACTTCCAAATGGCAGGTGGATCTGTTAGCTACAGTTCTTAATCTGAAGAACACTTCTTCACCTTCCTTCTTTTTATAACATGTTACAGGGCTGGTCTTAGAGCCAGGTTTATTTGTTTTCAGTCTCTTGAGAGAAAGTACAGTGCAGTAAGAAGAGACTATTTGGATATGGTAGTGCAGCCAGATTAATACAAGTGAAGACAATAAAGTACAGAATGATCTGCAGAGACAGATAAATACAGTTCTCTTCTAGTGCTAGGGGCTTATATTTTTGGAGGGAAAGGTCTTGAGTTCTATCCCTGTTGATGACAATGAAGTCTCTTTGACTATGTGCTAGTAATGGTGTGGTCCTACGCAATCAAGTGAACTTCTAAAAGACAGGTGATATACTGTACTCAATTCTTGTTTTATTTTGAAAACAATATCACAAAGTTAACCTAAATGGTTTATTAATGCACTTGAAAGTATAGCTAAATGGAAATTCAAGAGCAATTAGGAACTAAATCTTCCCAGCAGATCAATAGGGTATATCTTGGAATTCTCTTGATTCATAAGAATCTCTTGAGAGTGTCATGAAAACTCTGATTCTTTAGAGAGACCTTTAAAAAAAACTTCAGCCTGCTTCCCTGAAATTAACAAGACCTTTGTTACTGACTTCAGTGGGAGGCAGGTTGAGTTCAAATTAGTTATACTGATTTATAGAATCATAGAAAATTAGGGTTAGAAGGGACCTCAGGAGATAATCTCATCCAACGCCCTGCTCAAAGCAGAACCATCCCCAACTAGATCATCTCAGCCAAAGCTTTGTCTTAAAAAGGTCTTAAAAACCTCCAAGGATGGAGATTCCACAACCTCCCTGGGTAACTTGTTCCAGTGTTTTATTACCCTCCTAATGAGAGTTTCGTAATATCTAACCTAAACTTCCCTTGTTGCACCTTGAGACCATTGCACCTTGTTCTGGCATCTGCCATCACTGAAAACAGTCTAGCTCCATCCATTCACCTAGTTAAAGTTTGCTATTAAATCGCCTCTCAGTCTTCCCTTTTCCAGACTAAATAAGTTCAGTTCCCTCAGCCTCTCCTCATATATCTTGTTTTCCGGCCCCTAACCATTTTCATAGCCATCTGGACTCTCTCCAATTTGCCCACAACCCTTCTATACTGGAGGGTGCAAAACTGGACACAAGACTTCAGATGTGGCCTCACTAGTGCCAAATAGAGGGGAAGAATAATTTCTTTCGATCTGCTGACAGTGCTCCTACTAATGCAGCCCAGTATGCCATCAGCCTTCTTGGCAACAATGGCTAACTGGTTGATATTCAGCTTATTGTCCACTGTAACCCCCAGGTCCTTTTCTACAGACCTGCTGCTTAGCCAGTTGGTTTCCAGCCTCTAGAAGTGCATGGGATTGTTCCATCCCAAGTGCCTGCACTTTGCATTTATTCTTAATGAACTTCATGAGATTTCTTTTGGCCCAATCCTCCAATTTGTCTTGGTCTCTCTGAATCCTAGTCCTACTCTCCAGTGTATCTACTACTCCCCCCTACAGTTTGGTGTCATCTGCAAACCTGCTGAGGGTCCACTATATCCAATCTTCCAGATTGTTGATGAAGATATTGAACAAAACTGGTTCCAGGACTGAACCCTGGGGCACTCCACTTGATTCTGGCTGTCATGTAGACATCGAGCCAATTATTACTACCCTTTGAGCCCGATGATCCAGCCAGTTTTCTACTTTATAGTCCATTCATTCAACCTGTACTTCTTTAGCTTGCTTCCAAGAATGTTGAAGGAGACCATATCAAAAGCCTTGCTAGAGTCAAGGTATATTATGTCCACTGGTGTCCCCGCATCCACAGAACCAGTCATCTCATCATAGAAGGCAGTCAGGTTGGTCAAGCATGACTTGCTGCTGGTGAATCCATGCTGACTGTTTCTAATCATTTTCTTCTCCAAGTGCTTAGAAAGGGATTCCTTGAGGATCTTCTTCATGATTTTACTAGGGACTGAGGTGAGGCTGAACAGGCTGTAGTTCTCCCAATCCTCCTTCTTCCCTTTCTTAAAGATGAGAATTATATTTGCCCTTTTCAAGCCATCTGGGACCTTTCCTGACTGCAACAAGTTTCAAAGATAATGGCCAGTGGCTCTGCAATCACATCTACCAACTCCCTCAGCACCCTTGGGTGCATCGCATCCAGTCCCATGGATTGTATGCATCCAGCTTTTCTAAATAGTTCCTAACCTGTTCTTTCACCATTTTCAGCTGCTCATTTCATCCCCAAACTGTGCTGCCAGGTCCAGTAGTCTGGAAGCCGACCTACAAAAGGCATAGAGTACTTCAGCCTTTTCCACATCATCAGTCACTGGGTTGTCTTCCCCATCAGGAAGGGACCTACACTTTCCCTGAACTTCCTCTTGTTGCTGACATACTTGTAGAAACCCTTCTTGTTAGCCTTCATGTCCCTTGCTAGCTGCAACTCCAATTGTGCTTTGACGTTCCTGGTTTCATCCCTCATGCCCAAGCAAAACTTTTATATTCCTTCCTAGTTGTTCGTCCAAGTTTCTACTTAGTGTAAGCTTTATTTTTGTGATTTTTAGCTCACTGAAGAGTTCCCTGCTAAACTAATCTAGTCTTCTGTCATACTTGCTAGTCTTCCTGTGCATCAGGATGGCTTGTTCCTGAACCCTCAGTAAGGTTTCTTTAAAGTCCAGCCAGCTCTCCTGGACTCCTCTCTCCTCAGACTGACCTCCCAGGAGATCCTGCCCATCAGTCCTGCTTTTCTGAAATCTAGGGTCCTTACTCTGCTGTTCTCCTTCCTTCCTTTCCTCAGGATCTTGAAGTCAGTCATCTTGTGATCACTGTTGCCCACGTTGTCATCCACTACTACATTCCCCACCAGTTCTTCCCTGTTCATGAGCCTCGTTGGCCGCTCCATCACTTGCAATAGGAAGCTGTCCCCAGCACACTCTAAAAACTTCCTGGATTGCCTGTGCACTGTTGTATTGCCCTTCCAACATGTCAGGGTGATTTTGAAGTCCCCTATGAGAACTAGGGCCTGTGATTGGGAAACTTCTGCTAGCTGTTTGAAGAAAAGCTAATCCACCACTTCCTCCTGGTCTGGTGGTCTATAGCAGATTTCCACCACAACATCACTCATGTGGCTCTCCCCTCTGACCCTAACCCAGAGGCTTTCAACTGGCCTATCTCCAGCTTCATACTGGAGCTCTGAACAATCGTACAGCTCTTTTATATAAAGCACAGCTCCTTCTCTTCTCCCCTGCCTGTCCTTTCTGAACAGTGTATACCCATTCATGACAGTGCTCCAGTCATGTGAGCTCCCATCAAGTGTCTGTTATTCCAAACATGTCATAGTTCCATGACTGTCCAAGGACTTCCAATTCTTCCCTGTACTACAACACATTAGGTTTCCAAAATTAATTGGTTTCCAAAAGAGGTCTTACTTCAGCATAGAGAACTTGCTGGTAGTTCTACTTTCTAGACACAGACTCAAAGGAAGGCAAGATAGATTGCCTAATAGAGGCAAGATTGGAAAAAGCTATTCTGTTCAGTCTAGAATAAATTGGCATATAAACCAAAAGTAACAAGATGACTATAACTTGGAGTAACAGGAAGAAAAGGAGAAAAGTAGGCAAAATACTTGGAAAATATTTCTGACAGTAAGGCAAGGTTCTTTGGATGAATCTGATATCTCTTATTAGACCAACTTTAATAGTTGGAAAAAAAATTTAGCAAGCTTTCGGGTTTAAAAACCTTTTGTCAGGCTGAGGAAGTCTCTGCAGTTGGTGTGTGCTCTTCCGGGATGGAATTAATCTTTCCTAACAGTTAAGATATTTTAAACTGTAAATAGGTCTGTATATAAGGCTAGTAACTAATAACTCCCTCATGTGGGACATCTGTGTTTTGATTGGAGAAAGCACAGAGAGTAATCCTAGTATGAAGGTAGGCTAAGTGACCTACCAATTTTTTCCCATCTCTCTCTTTTGTGGTTTTCAAAGGGTTGTACAGCTACCAGAAAGCATTTTAAGGGATTAGTTATTACTCCCAAATACTGCATATTAAAGGTGGAAGAACTGACTTCCTACATTAAAAATCAGTGAGTAGTGTAGCAAGTGAGGTGAGGAGATGTACACAACTGCGTAGAGCAAGAAACTTTGGGTTCTTTTGCCAGTGATTTGTGTTGACCTGACAGATTTTTTTATTTATTTTTTTTAAACTTCTGTACATAGATTCCTAAGTGTACTTAGGAGTTCTAAAACCTAAATTTTAGGTACCTTATCACTTACAATTCACACCTCTGGTTGAATGTGTAGTCACCCCTGTACAATACACTGGGAAACATAGGAAAATTATTGACTATTACTTGTTACCTTTCTCTGGACCAACCCTTTATACACTTATTTATGTAATATTATCTTTATGATTTTCTGAGCATACTTTAAAATTTAAACATTAAAAAATTTAAACACAACAGCTGCTTGCAGACATTAAAAAACAAACAAATGATGCTTTACTTTAAACTCGACATGTTCCTGTGCCAAGTCCAGAACATGCCTAGAAAAGGCATTGCATTAGTTGGACCTAGCCCACCCAACTGATTAAATCAGCTATGAGATAAAAGCACCAAAAAGCCCCACTAAAGCACCTGATCTATACAGATGCTGCAGAGCCAGGTCAAAGTAACACACTGCTTCTTCCAGTAAAACATGTTTTTTGTTTGTGCGGGAGGGGTTTAACATCTGCAAGCAACTGATTTATGTATTTGTAGGCACTACAGTGTGAACTAAAACCATAAGGTCAGTTCTTGCTCTGTTCAATGCAGCAGTGATGCATAGTGATATTGCACACCTATTGCAAGAATTCTTCTAGTCAGGGCTGAGTTCCAGTGGGAAAGTTTGAGCCCCATGAGGTGAGGTGGAGCCATAAAATATGGTAGTATCATACTCTCTGACTGCAAACAGGGGATTGCCAAATCAGACATAAGGCTGGAAGAGACCTCATTGGGCACGTCCACACATGCAAGCACATGCACTTGCAGCAGCTCAAATAGAAGCGTTGCACATTTTGAGCCGGGGCTTTTTGCTTCAGTGCACGTGCTCAGACATGCACTTTGTTGTGGAGCAAATTGTGCCACTTGGGGCACAATAACC